ATATTATATTATATTATATTATATTATATTATATTATATTATATTATTTACTCATATTCAAGGTCTCAAGAAGATCTATAATTCTGACTTTGAGGCGCTCTAGTTCAAACAACCATAAACAACAATAAACACTTCTAAAATTTGATATTTAAACACCGAACGAACGCCCCGCGCTTAACTCTCTTATTGCACCTGCATTCCATTGGCCACACCTGAAACTCCTCTCTCTGGAGCTTCAAGTTGTTCTGCTACTTACTCCAAATAATAAGTTTCATTTAAATTTTCTACTATTGAGTAGATGAGAAAGGTAGAAATTGTATTTTTTTCTGTCTTAAGCATATTTCATTATACAATTCCTGTTTTAAAACCTACATATATTTATTTAAAAAGCCGTTTACAACGTAACATAATTTTTTATAATGCATACAATAAAAATTGACCTTCGATACAAATTGGCGACATGATTATGTTGGTATGTTATAGGACCTTTGGAACAGTCATTTATTATTTTAACCATTGTCACCTCGAGTACATATAAGACAACATAATGTCTGTTCCGTCAATACAGATCAATAAGATTTGCCTTTATTCAAATCTTCAACGAGCTTTTTATTCAAAGTGGCCAATTCCTCCATTGCTTGTTTTTTCAAAGGTTCGTAATCGGCTTTTAAAGTTATAGATGCAATATCTTCCTCGAGTACAGTCTTTCTGTTTTCTAATTGAGCCAGTTCTTCCTCTAGTGCGTTTAGCCTGGTGTACATTTCATTACCGTCGAGGCTTTCCTGTGGAGGGAAAATGAATGAGATTCCTATAAACGTTTCCAAACTAATGCTATGAAATTCAACCTAACTTTGATGTCAAACAAAGGTCTGATTCACATTTTAACTGCCTCCGTGGCCGAACGGTTACCATACTGGTCTACCACGCAGAGTTTCCGGGTTCAATTCCCGGGCCGGGAGAAACATTTGTACGGTGTACAAATAAATATTTGTCTCGTGTTTTTGGGTACAGTTTAAGGTTGTCTATGTGTGTTCATGGCACTCGCGACCCAGGGTTTCCCTAGTGCGGGGCTATGAGTGGGTACGTTATTATTATCATTATTATTATTAATAAGAGCTAAACGTCCACAGATATTTCCCAAATATAATATTTATTTTTAAATCTTTAGAATTTACAACCTTGTTTATGTTTTTTGATTCTTTACCTGTAATTTCTTCAGTTTGCTAGCAGCTTCAACAAGTGCACTCTCTGTAGGCACTAGTTTCTCTTTCAACACCTGCAGTTCTGTTTCCAAAACTTTCTTTTGTTCTTCACCTAGAAACATTAGATTTCATTTAACACTACTTAAAAATCGTTTTATAAAATCGTGGTTTGTCTTTGTGCAACAATTTTTCAGACTAATATAAGGGTAGGTGCTCCCTCGAGCAGGGAGCTCGCTCCCTCAACGTAATTTTGCTTGTGTCATCGTGAGTTCCGGTAATTTCAAAACAGCATACCTTCTTCTCTAAGTTTTTCTAGGTCAGACAGTGTAACAAGTTCATCTTTCATAGCTTGTGTCTTCTCTGGCAATGTCTGCAACTCCGTTGCTAAACGTTCACGAGTAGATTCAACCTGTTTCAGAATAAGAAAAAGTGACATATAATATTTTTTATACAATCCAATAAAGGAGTATGTTTAGAGGAATCGAATTAAACCTACCTTTTTCAAGTTAGCTTGGAACCTTTCATATTCTTTCGTCAAAGTCTCAATAGTCTTCTTATTGTCATCATATGCAGACGTATAACCTTCTTTTTGCTTTAATGAGTCAATTTCACTAAGATCCAAATCAATGTTAGAACTGCTGTGTTCCAAAGCAAATACTATGTCTTTCTCCAATTGTTCTATTTTCTCTTGCTCCTTCTTGAGGTTTTCTTCATAAGTTGACATGAAGGTGTCCATTGTTTCTTCGCGCTTTTTAAGTTCGCGATATTTTTGGTGTCGTTCTGAGTTTCCTTCTTCTAGATCCTACAGGATGAAATGATAAGTTTATATAACCAAACACAACACAATTCAAGTTTAATCACAGATTACTTAATAGTTACTACGTGTTTAACTACGAAATTTAATGAAGGTTCTCAAATAACGTAATTTTAATTTTTTCATATTAATTTATCTTACACAAGGTCAATTACAAGTAGGAATAAATGGAAGAAGAAAAACGTCGAAACACTTACGTGACCGAATTTTTTTAAAAGCTCTGGTCACATGTCAGTCCGATTATAATTTTATTGGAAAAAATCGCCATGAATTCATAGAAAAGGTCGCAAATGCTTTATGTGTATAGAGTGAAGGGCGCATTGATAGTGTTCCTCAGATCTTTGTGACTTAAAGCACTGACTGGCACGTAACTGTTATGGACAGGTGTATCGCTTACCACCAGACGCAAGGTCACTTCGTATCATAAAAAAATCTTTAAGAGTACATACTTGTTCAGATTGCTCTATTAGTTCCTGCACTTTCTTAATTTGCTCCTTTAAATTTGCAGCGTTGCTATCCAAAGATGCGATGGCTGCGTTGTCTTCACGAACCTAAAACAAAACGGCACTTTTAAAGCTTACAACATTCCTATTTACAATGGTTTTCTCAAATGTACAATTCGATAGATAAGTCTAGAAGCTCGTGGTTTTACCTGTAACAAAAGTTTTTCTCGCTCTTCTTGAGGTTCCAATCGATTGTTCATTTCGTTTTTCAAATTGTCTCGTTTCTCTTCCGCTGCTGCCAATCTTCGGTGTAATTCTAACAAGTGCACTTTTATCTGTAAGCAGAAATTTTATGTATTGTCTGCTACCTACTTACATATATGTAACAATAAATTTCTTTTGGCACTCGTCTCTATTTTTTTAGCAGTGTTATATAACAGTTCATATGAATACAACACACTTAGGAAAAATATTTGCCGGTTGTTTAAAGCTTCGATTTTTTGGGTTTTGATGCGCATCGTTTGTATTATTATTACTTACCTGTGATCCAGAAATCTCTTTGGCAAACTCATCCTTTTCCCTACTAAGATGGTCTATTTGTGTCCTGGATTGCTCTACTTTCTCGCGTAAAGCAGTCGCCGTGGCCTCTAATTCGTCGTATTGTGCTTTTTGATCTGGGGTCATCTCAGCTAGTAGTTGCGATAGGGTAGATTGTTCCTGAAATAGCATTCAAAGTTTTATTCAAGGAACGCTGCTAATTATTAATACAAAGATCGAACACTCAGAAAAAATTCCTTCGATCCGGCCAGATTCGAACCAACTTCTTTTGGCTTACCATGCCAGATGCTATACCAACTAAACAACGGAACGAACCAGCTGACTTCACGAATTTTTCTATGTGCTTGCGTCGAGTCTTTGTATTTGGCTTTTCAACGGCTTTTTAGTCGTGCTTCGTTGGTATAGCGTCTGGCACGGTAAGCTAGAAGACGTCGGTTCGAATCCGGCCGGATCGAAGGAATTTTTTTCGGAGTGTTCGATCTTTGTATTAATAATTATAACAAACTAGTGGAGTAATTTCACAAAAAATAATTGAATACCAATTCAATAAAAATTTAGAACTGTGCTCTGTTAGCTACGAATTCAAAGACTGGATCTCTCACAGTTTGGGTATTACGTGCATGTTATAGTTCCTAGTGTAGTCTTAAATCGACACACATAACGATAAAGAGTCAATGTAATCAAGACAACGTGCTGGCTCTCCCTACCCTTCTATCAGGAACATAGCGGCTTTGCGATAGAAATGAGGAGGCCGGTGCTAGTTACATACCTCTAAACACTACCGCCCGTAAAACTAAAAAGAGACTTTTCTAACTTAGTTTTGTCTTCAGTTTGTAATGTATCGTTACTTTTTTCTTAAGTATACAAAGGGAATTCCATAGTCGGGGATTATTTAGCACAATTGTGTACCTTTTCCATCTGATCCTTGAGCTGTCGTAATTGATTTTCCTTTCTCTGTTTCTCAAGGAATACTTGTTCCACGTCTTCCTGCATCTTATTATTGCTTGCTTCGAGCTCCCTTGTCTGTTCTTCTACAGACTGTTTCGTTGCTTCTCCGTTGGCGATTCTTATGGCTGTATTGTAATCAGCTAAGCGGCCTTGTAGATCTAGAGATAAATTGAAGTTGTTACATTTTTATTGCTACTTCGTTTATTTAGCATTTCTACGATTCTTACTAGTTAAACGACCTCTTAGACTGTTGACCAGAAACAGGACGTTGTAAGTTCATGCCATGCAGTGCAACGAAAAAATGGTAAGCTTTTGGTTATTCTATTTATTATTATATGGCTATTTTGATTGAATCGCGTCCACAACTATAACTTAATAAAAAATACGTTATTTTTTAAATACCAAAGTAGTTTCACGTGTGGCCGTACAGGTTCATCTAGAAGGTAGTATTAAATTCTTAGAGTGATTTTGCAACAGTGGTTTCGGTGTTGACCACTAGAAGTCAGAAGACACCATAGACTATATGAACCACCTCCCACGGGCTGGGACCTGGTGGCACCAACCTGTCAACTCCTGCGCCAACTCCCTTACTCTCTTCTCATAATGTTTCTTCGCGGATTTTTCTCTTTCTCCTGCATCCGCCTGCTCGCTCAGTCTCGCAATTTCTGCCTTCATCTCTCTCACTTTGACCTGCATTAATTCCTCCCAATACCGTTTGTCCTGAAGTTGTCTTGTACGGAAACCTCTCGCTGTTCCCGTACGTAACCCTGATATGCCTTGTTGTGTTATCGGGCGATCAATCTAAAAAATATTCCTGATTAAGAGACCTCGTAAATAATATAAAGTGTCGCGAAAATAAAACGTATCCTTATTATTATTAGGTTAACAGTATTTTGTAGAGACTTCACATATTGAGCTTATCAGGCCATTACAAGGTAGGCTGCTATTACGTAAATGTATAACCTTGGCAAGTTGCAACGCATGATTTAGCCGCGGTTAACTTAAAAAATAAGCACACGCTAACGCTATGTTTGACAGTACCATAGAAAATCCAGTCATAGCCGTGGGCTGTCTGCTTGCAGTTGGTGGGGCAGGGCCGAATCCAGCAGTGGACATGCGGGAAGCCGTGCCTCCTCTGTACGCTGACGTCGGTCTCATGGTTCCACTTCTGCATTAAATGTAACGGCAATAATAAGTAAAATGTAACAATAAACATATTGGAAACTAGTAGATATATTCCACGATGAGAACATTGCATATTGAAATAAAATGTGTACCACTTAAATGACTTTAAACTTAGTATTAAATTTGTTTGTTGATGGTGGACTGTGATGATGGAGGTTGTGCCTATTTGTTGATGTATTACATAAATATAACTAGGTTACGTGGATAAAGCTGCTGACAGACTACGTCGATAACGCTTCAGATACACCTCTTACAACGCTTCAGATACAGGGTTTAATACCCTGCTAGGTACCTAAATATAATTTCTATTATAATTTCCCTATGGATGTACTTACGAAATTAGCGCATATCAGGTACTTAAGGGTCGGCAGCTTTAGTGCTTAAAATTAAAATGTAATCAGTAGATTATGCTGCCAATGTGCTTTGGTTTAATAATTAAATACTAAAAATCAATGTTACCTAGATACAGTGGAACCACTGTTAGTATATTCACGAAAACCCCGTCTAGAAACTGGACGTGGTGCATCCGGTCGCCTCACCGCACTGGACCTTTCAAGCGAACTGGCCTCGGAATAATCCATAGTACTTTCTACTTATTTTTCACCAATTAGTTGAAAATAGTTCACGCGCAATAACAATGTTGTTACTCGGCTACTATGGCAACGCAATGCTATGACAACTGTCGCTTCAGTTTACTTGTCATCGTGGAAACGATTTACAAACCAAAGAGACTTCATTTCAAATAATTATATAATACTTCTTTTTTAAAAGCTAGGTTCTGTGGTGGAGTAGTCGTCAATCACCTGACACGACATGACATTAAGTTTTTTTTCCTTTTAGGCTTTTAGACGTTATCTGATCTATACAGGGTGGAAATTTGCAATGCCACTTGGAAGGAAAGTACGTTAAATACTGGAGATAAAAATTTTTACTTAAAGGAAACATTCCTTTATTTTTAAAAAGAAATAATACTGCATTCAAAGAATTTCGAAAATTGCTAGCCACACGCGGGAATCGAACCCTCTAAATATTTAAAAAAATGCACCCTGTACTTTTATTAAATCAAAAGGGTCAATTATGAGGATGAAATCTGTCTTACAAACCATGAAATCTGGAGTTATAAATTCAATGGGTTTAATTTAAATATAGTTTTTAATTTTTTAATTATTTTTCCTTTTTAAAATTTTTTAAAATTTAATTTTAATTTTAATTTCATTTATGGGTTTGATTTAAACGGCACAATCAGATGGCCTGCGAGATCACCAGATCTCACCCCTTTAGATTTTTTATGGGGATATGTTAAAAATAAAATTTACCTTAAATCCTATGCGAGTGTAAACGAGTTGAAGGCTGGGGTTCAGAATACGATTTGTAAAACAATTCATCACAATACGTTATTAAAAGTTACTCAAAACGAATTCGTTAAAAGATTAAATTTGTGTACCCAAGAAAATGGAGCTCATTTCGAGCAACTAATTAGATTACCATTTTTTTCGTTTTATTAATTACGTTAAGATTTCATGTTTTTTTTTTTCATTTAATTAACTAGTTTTGTTAGAGAGATTTTATTCTAATAATTAACCCTATCGATCGATGCAATAAAAGTGCAGGGTGCATTTTTTTCAGATTAAAGCGGGTTCGATTCCCGGGTGTTGCTAGAAATTTTCGAAAATCTAAGAATGCAGTTTTATTTCTTTTAAAAAATAAAGGATTGTTTCCTTTACGTAAAAATTTCTATCTCCAGTATTAAGAGTACTTTCCCTCCAGGTGGCATTACAAATTTCCACCCAGTATAATACTAGGAGTTTTTGCAGCAGTAGAGCTTCTTGTGAAAGAGTTCGTCCAGGGAAGTAAAGCCGGTTTTAAATTTGCCTGACGTGTCGTGTCGTGACGCGTCAAAACGGTATCGGTTTCATACATTTAATATGGTTAAATTTATATTAGTGTGTTGCTATGTGACGTGACACGACACTACACGTCACACATATGTAAACTCGGCTTAATGTCACCTTACCTATTTCTGTCGTGCCAACCGGTAATGTAAGCATTAGGTGTGTTCCGGTTTTGAAGGTTAGTGAGTAGAAGGGTGCTGGTGAAATTACAGGGACAGGGGATTTGTGAACTTGACTCAGGGTAACGGGCGCAATGTGAATATTTTTCAGATCTTTGCGGTTTCAAGTTCTGAGAGGCACTGTACACACGACTTGTTCGTCCCGTCGCTTTATATCATAGAAAACGCTAGACTTTCGATGGAGTAATCTTCAATCATCTTTGACCAGCGCCCTAATTTTGTGTTTCTGATACGAAACGATATCAATTTATTTTCCCTACGTCGTTAATTAGATCGTATACGATATTTGGACTTAGCTATATATTATAAATGAATTAACTGGAACTCCAGGATAGACTATTCTAAATGCTAGAAGCGTTCCCCTTATGGATAGGGTAGCAGGCTAGTAGATTCATAAAATTTTTGGACAGTGTTTTTCCCCATCGCGTTCTACGGAACTAGAGATTCCCACGTAGACAACGTTTCCAGTCGGACACCATCTAGTGGAGTGCTGTGAATGATGAGGTTTATCATTTTGGATTTAATTTAATTCATTCAGTGCAACCCTAGTCCCAGTGTCGTATGGAAGCTCTTAGTATTTTTATAAATAAACAAATCCGGCTATGAAGTAATTTTTTTTAGATATAGGTACACCAAATACTTGCTCTCAAACTAGAGAATTCCCTAATTTCCCTATGGGTTCTAAAGTAACGGAATTCATTCTGGGACAACTCTCAAACCAGAATCAATTTTGAAAAGTTTCCCACATTGGTCCTACCGGGAATCCAACTCGCAACCTCTTAATCCAATGCTCACTGTGCAAGCCATTGGGAAAATGTCGGAACGCCTTATAGGTTTAAAATGCATTGCGTTTTTAATTCATTTAATGATACTGTAAAGCTTTTGAGTGGCTGTTACTTAGCAGCATTACAAGGTTGTAAGAAACTAAAGTAATAATAGAATAATTGAAGCCTTTTTTGGACTTAAAAACACGTTGCATATTCTGTTGAATACAAATGAGAACCTAATTCATGATTCATAACGCATTTATTTTAGGTCGTCTAAGTAAAAATTGAGACGTTGTAATGGAACCACTTTACGACTGCAGAGCCACTTCACGGCTGAAAAAACTACTTTACGGTTGGAGAAACCACCTGCTGGTTCGTGAAGCCCCTTAGATTCCCAACTTGTTCGCTGCGCGCCCTATTGCCGAACACGCTGCACCTTTCCGCCTGTCGTCTGCCGAGAGTTCCGTGACCCGAGGCTACGGAACACCACAAGTGGAAACAAATAATCTTTAGGCCTTCCAACCACGGCCCTGACTAAATGTATGTACTAAAATTCCATTAGAGTCTCAACTGATTATTTTAATTTATTTCAAAATTATAATTTTAAATTGCAGTTTTTTTATTTTAATATAACATTATATTTATGATCTCCTAGTTTAATTTACTACCCTCTTAGGTAACTTAGGAACTAAGGAATCAAACCCGGTACAATATTACAAAATAAGTAGGTATTACATAGTAAGTACCAGGTACAATGAAACTATTTATAAAATAAATAGTTACACTGTGCCTGGTCAAACTTTAGCCATACAAAACGTATTGAATGTGTATTGTAAGTTTATCACATGCATTCGACAGACTTAACTAGGTACACGAGTAGATTTTTTAAATAATATCACACAGGCGTACACATAGTTGTAATAAGTCAGCCAATAAGAATAAATTGTTTAGCTTCAGTAACAACTAACTTACAACCTATAACTAAAACGTACCAATTTGTTATCAGTTGTCCTAAAAATTCCTAGCAGACAAAGGAATCTATATTTATTCCTAACACGCCATTACCGCCACCATGAGTATAATTAAACTGATAATATTCAATATGTTAACGAAATTCCAGATAACTTTGAATACTATGTTTTTAAATACGGGACAACACCATTTCTCATTTTACATAAGTCGGAATTCAACTTGAAATCAGTGTGTCTGTACCTGTCATGGCTAACGAAGTTCGCATTTCAAAGTTAATTTGCACTGTTTTGTATTTGGTTCATGTGAACGGATATGTATTTTACGGATTTGGAAATGGTTATAGATATCTTACCAAACAGTTGTCTAACGCAGGGCTCTTTGATGCTTCGGCACTAAGCTCTGTAGAAGCGAAATGGATTGAACAACCTTTAGATCACTTTGACGAAAATGAAACACGTACATGGAAAATGAGGTACTTCGAAAATTTGGAATTTTGGCAACCAAATGGAACTATTTATTTGTTCATTGGTGGTGAGGGCGAAGCCAGCCCTGTATGGTTGACTATGGGAATTCTTTATGAACTGGCTAATGAAACAAACGGAGCTATATTTGGTTCTGAACACAGATACTACGGGAAAAGTATGCCGCTGAATAATTTAGTCACAGACAACTTGAAATTCTTGAGTTCTAGGCAAGCTCTTGCTGATTTAGAAACGCTCTTAAAATACGTTAGGTCATTGCCTAAATTTGAGAAGTCTACGGATTCTAAAGTAGTGTTGATTGGAGGTTCGTACCCGGGCAACTTGGCGGCTTGGATGAAACTTTTGTATCCAAATCTCATCGATGCGGCCATAGCAAGCAGCGCTCCTGTACTGGCGAAGAAAGACTTCTTTGAATATCTTGAAACAGTTGCAGACGACTATGAACAACATGGAACACCCGAATGTTATGATAATATTGCAAGAATATTCCAAAGATATGAGAAACTTTTCAGCAGCGCTGAGGGAATTAAGCTGCTCAAAGAAGAGGAAAAGATTTGTGAAGACAACGATATGACGAAATTAGAAAACAAACAGTTATTTTTTATGGATAAAACGTCCCCTTTCATGATACGTGCTCAGTATGGCAATCCAGCTTATATACAAACGCATTGTAAAAAGTTAGCAAATAGTTCTCGAGTGGCATCATTGCAACAATTCTTTGATGATGAACCAAGTTTCTGGCGAGAAGAGACTGAATGTTTCGATTATGATTTCTATAATATGATCGATGAGGTGAAAGAAATCGATTGGGCTGTGTCTTGGATATATCAAACATGCACTGAATTTGGATATTACCAGAGTACAAATTCTGATGCCCATCCTTTTACACGTAATATTCCCGCGGATTTGTACTATAAAATGTGTTTAGGAATGTTTGGTCACGAGTTTAATGAAGAGAGAATTAATGCAGGGGTTCTAAATACTAACAAACTGTACAACGGACTCACACCTAACGTAACTCATGTTGTTTTTGTGAACGGAGACATGGATCCTTGGCATCGATTAGGTGTGCTGGAAGACGTGTCTTATGAAGCTCCGGCTAAAATTATTCCAGCCGCATCACATTGTAGAGATTTATTTTCTAACAGAAAAGGTGATCCTGAAGAATTAAAAGAAGCTAGAAAATACATTAAATATTTAATTGAAAAGTGGACAGGTTTCGGGGAATATACAGTAGATTAGAAGGTTTTCATAATTGTCTTCTTTAATCGCGTTCTTAGGTTTTCGCGATTGTTACAGATAGGAAATGAAACTTTTTCCGAATTTAAATCGCGTATATTTGTTTTTTCAAACATACCAACGTTTCGGACCCTTTTGTAGGTCCCGTGGTCACGGTTGACAGTCAATACGCGATTTAAATCCGGAAAAATAGTTTCATTTCCTGTCTTTTTTAGTTTAGTAAATTGATATTTACATTAACTCCTTGAAATACTAAGTCTAATTATTGTATTAATCTTTGTCTTTACGCTAGTTAAAATTTAAATAAAATGGACATTATTTACATACATTTTATATACATTTTTAACAGAATCTGTGAAACTATTCCTTAACAGACTGAAGATGTGTTATGTAAAGTTAGCGCTTTATTTTGTAGGACAACGAAATTAGTCAAAAATAACACCGTAGCAACAGAAACGAGAGGAAAGCTACTGCTAAGTATTTTCTGATGATAAGAAACTTGTGATTGGAAATTCGAAATTACACCACACATTTTAGATAGTGTACGGGGACGTACACTGAACCTCGAAGAACTGGGCATACCTATATTATTGTCTTGTCTACCGTAATACTGTACAAAATTTATCATGAAAAACAATTTTTTATAACTGCACAGCAATGTTAATAAATTAAAATTATCTAAACAATATATTTTAATAAACAACAGAACATCTAACCAAACATCGTTAACAAATTTTTATTAAATTCGAATATTTTGTAAATTAATTTAAACTTTTCGAATTTAGAACGTTTTCTCATATCAGTCAGTAGTAATTTTTTACATGTAGACAAAAGTTTGCAGAGCATTGAAACCTGTATTTTATAAGATTCGAATTACCCTAAAGAAAAGTTTATTTTGCCCGTTTATTTTGCTTAGTTGAATTAGTAGAAGTAAGGAAGGAAGGATCAAGACAAGACTGCTAAATCGTTGCTTAAAAAGCCTATATGCATTGTTCACTGGGCTTAGTTTCTTATAAATATTTTCACGTTTGGTTTTCTCCAATTAAAAGAACAATTTAAAGAAATAATATTATATTTATTCATACATTTTTCCTTAATTTATTCGTTAACCAACACCCTTCTTCACATAATACATAGAGGATGTTGTATATTTAACATTTTAGTAAGTATAAATGTAATATCTACTTGTAATTACAATTTTAACTTCTAGATAACGCGTTTTGTGACTCCTACCCCATCTACCTTTAGTAACGCAATATAGACATGCATGTGACAGATCATTCATACATATACACACATAACCATACATACAAACTTACTGCATGATATAGCACGATGCATATTAAATAAAAACTAATATTGAGAGAGATATTTAGGCTGCAAAAGCTCTCGTATGCAAACAGTGCTAAAATCAAGTAAGAAGTAATCTCTTCTACTAAATAAATTATATATTATGTTATGTATTACATCTTTAAGTACTAAAAGATGTTAATAAAAGTAGTTATAAATGTACGCTCATTGATATATTTCAAGGAACGCTAAAAAAAGGCTGAATTATGATATCAATGTTCATAAGAACGACAGGGCTATAAGTACGTGAACGTTTAATTTGAAAAAAGATTGCTTTATACGTGTTTATCTACACTTCTACACACATATCATAAGCTCTCAATGATGTGTTCAAAACCGCAAATTACGACCAGCATAAACATAAACTATTTTGTAAAAGAAATTTCTTATCAATGAAAATGTTATTATTACTTCTTATTAACATCAAATTCGATTTTAATATTACATTCAAATTTCGAACGTCTTTATAAAACAAAACAATTTGATTCGACCTCAATTCTAATATCAGTCGTGATGAAGTTTTATTCGAAATGAAATGTCAATAGCAAACAATTTTGACAAATATCACACGTTACTTGATATCGAACGATTTGATATTTGTGGCCGACTCTAGTTTGTCTATGAATTAAAAGAAATTTTGAGGAAAGTTTTTACTTGCCGCCATTTCGCCAGGCGTAACATGCGGTTCCTGAGCACATTACAGAGAGCTTATAATAAGTGTATAGATAAAGCAGTGTATGTAACTGTATGTACATAATTAAGCATTAAAACATTCGTGTGATGTTTTTATGAAACCTGTCGGCTCGTTTCATAAACCCACACTCGTATTTGAATGCCTTTAATTATGTAACAGTCACATAAACTACTGTTTGATTTAGATTAAACGTTCTTTGTAATAATGGCCAGTGAGTGGTGGTTCTTAGAACGTTCTTAATATAATTCAACGTTATTTAGTGTTCCCCTAAACTCGTCCGTGAGTATAGTAATATCTAGTTTTCTGAATTTATTTATTACGATTTAATGAAAATATATATGTATGTACATATATATCTATTTATTTATAATCTACAATAATTATAAAACATACATTGGTAACCCGAGTAGCACCTGTGATTATTAAATTTGTTCTTACAATTTTGATTTCAATAAAATCGTTCTCGAAAACATAGCAAAATTTAAAAAAAACCTATAGAATAATAACGCATAGAATGATAGTTTCATGTCAAACGAACTGTCACAAGTGAGGCAAAAATCAAATTCACGTAGGCTAGTTTTAGTAGTAGGTTAATTTTCGGTATTAGTGAATATTTATATAAAAATATAAGTTGAAACGCGGTACTTCCTTGTGGAATGTGATGTTAGTATCTATTTTATGTTTGTCTGACGTATTTTTACTCTCATTTACCGCACATTTCGTCATTTTTAGCTAACATTCTGGAGCTGTTCGCGGTGCAAGTTGACCTTGAGCACTGAAGGCCCGCCCGCTCATTTAGGCCCTTTGGGAGCGCTTCAATTTGCCTCACTTAGCGTGTGCGGGCTAGGTTTCTATGCGTTATTATTCTAAGGTGTTACATAATTTGAACGTATATCAAAAAGGTCAATCAATATACAAATTGTATTAGAGAAAAATTAATAATAAGCTACATTAAAAGCCATCAACATTACTTAGAAAAAATAATAACTAGCAATTATCCTACTTAGGTATGTAAATATGATTGAGTATTGAAAAAAATAACAATATAAGGTAGGTAGATTATTAAGCACAACTTTTAGCCTATCTAAATACTAGGTGAATATTTACAAAATTCATACCTAGAAAGAAATACTTACTTAAAGTAAATATTTATTTTCTTCAAAATGTGATAATCTGAATTGGAGTAACAAATACCTGCAAATATATGTATGGGAGGCATGACACTGAGGTACCTTATACAAGTTGTTTATTTCTTAGGAAAGTGACATAAGAATAATTTTGAAATTTGACATAGATCTGTTTCATACCTTATGTTTTTAACCAATACTACACTACGAGCTTGTATTTGTGTAGTATTCATTACACTCTCTAGGTTAAATTTGTCGATAGTACTTCCTACAACCAGTACCAAAAAGACGGAAATTTCACAGATAAAAACCTATTTTAACCATTGGACGAAACAACGTTGTTTCCTATGTTTCTCAGATACTCATTTGTCATTGTCACTTCGACGAATATTACCCGGAAGGTGGTATACAAATTGGTGCCTACAACTAAACTGGTACTTCGCATGATCTGTACAAAAAATGAAATTGAAATGTGCAGTAAATTAATCAAAGCTTCCTTTAAATACTGATTTTAAAGAGACGTTGTTATTTACTAAAATTATTACCTTTACTCATCCTCTACTTACGAATATAAAGTCATAGAAATGATATGTGAATGAATTAATGATATTATACAATAGTAACGAATGAATGATGCCATGGTCAGAAACTTCCAACTAGTGCTTTTAGAGTCGAGGAGTAAACCGGGCATTATTATTTTGCCCGTTGCGTAGGGTACAGCTGAAAAAGTTCAAATGTGCCATGATTCGATTCCCCTAATCACAATTCCCAACCCTGTTTTGACTAGGATTGACACTTTATCATAAAGTTTAAAAGTGTTTCAATAATATTGAACATTCATTAAAATAAGTGGCAGTGATAGTTTTAATTCATTCCTTAAACTTACGTTTTTACATATTAATTATAAATTATAATTGTAGTGTGGCTTGGGAAACTTTGTTCTGTATATTTGTCGCGATCACATCAGATTGAAAAAAAGTGGGGACTAACAAAAATAATTAAGAAACAATGTTGGTGTGTCAAATAATATTGGTATCTAGTTGGCCCCAACACTGGCCACGAAAAGCCAAGAATAGAAAAAAAATATAGCCGACATTAAACTATTCTCAGATCTGGCAGTATGGCTCAGAAGCTTTAGCCTGTCCCGAAGGATGTTATTTGTTTCCGTTTTCATAGGAAATGAAACTATTTTTCCGGATTTACTAAGTATTACGTAAGGTTGACTAAGTAAACTGTGACCAGTTAACCTGTAAAGGGCCCGAAACGTCGGTTTGTTTGAAAAAACAAATATACGCGATTTAAATCCGGAAAAATAGTTTCATTTCATAATTGTATTGTTTAGGTAGATTTATTATAAAATCAAAACGCATTAAAACACATTATTTGTAACAGTGCGATATAAAAAATGTTGTAATACTAAAATTATCATTACAAAGAACTTAAAAATGTATTCAGTATGCGATTCTTTACCACTAGAGTCAACTATTTAAAATACATCAACATTTTATGTTTGTTTTAAACAGATGTTTCGATAAAGCATCGTGGTAAAATAGTACAAAAATGGAAATAGAGTCTTAAACATAATAATTTACAAGTGTCATTATATATTTACAATTTGTAAGATGATCAGATTGATATTTTTATCTTATAATTTCAATTACATTTTGATTACAGACTATGATATTAAAAAAAATGTAATTTTCAACAATATCAATGAGATATCTAAGACATATCTTTAAGAACGACTATCTATCTTTATTTCTACGGTTTAAATAATCCGCAGTAATTTCATCATACTCATCAGTTTTTTATGTATCTTTTCATACTTTTCTATAAAATTTACTTTCATAATGAGTTAAACGTAAGTACAGGCGATGCCCTAAGATACTAGACCCCCTAGTCGACCTTTCGGTTTTGAGAGCCTTCTTACGCATTATACAAAGAAGTCTAAAGGAATTCCATCTTTTTGGTTGAAATTTTTTTTATGTTTACGTAATGTAATTAGAGATCAAATTAGGTTAAAAAAAATTTTAACAAGGCATTCTAATAATTTTTTTCCACACTCTTCCCGCACACAAATGTAGACCATACAAATATTTCTCCTGGCCTACGAATCGAATATTGGTTCTCTGCGTGGCAAACCAGTATGGTAACAGTTCGGCCACGGAGGTAGTTAAATAATTTAAATAGTATGGTGCAATAAGTAAGTCATATCAAAATGGATTTTACGGCTCATAGGTTAAAGGTTAAGCTTCTTTAACACATTTCTTTACACTTATTTACTCAGAACCAAATACTTGGAGGGGATCTGGTATTTTAGGACATCGACTGTACCTACTAAACAATCTATCTACGAAAGACAATTTGCTTTAAAATTTGTTGAGACCATAAAATGCATCTAGATGTCTTGTTGTTCTGCTTGATTGTCGTTCGAAAAAATATATAATATAATATTTCTAGTCTTAAAACGTCGTTATTTAATCCCAATCGCCGATAAACATGTGACGAGCATGGGATGCTGGAGGCGGAGGAAATCCACGTCCAGGAATCGGGAGGCGGCCGTACAACGCGTATGGATCATAGTGGTCTCCATCTGTAATATTAGTTTTATTTAATCTGTGGTATATACTAGAATTTTCCATGTAAAACTTTTCCTACGGTGGAGTGACAGTGATTAGTAACATACGAGTCTTTTCCGGTTCAGTTGCATGGATATAGGTGGAGGAAGTGCCGAAATTGTAATTGGGAATAGTTGAAGTGATTTTCGATTGTTTTAGGGATAGTTGCAGACCTGACATTAGGTTTGAAAGTACAATTAACGTGAGGTCAGCCGAAGCGAAAATACATCTTAAGTATTAGAGAAAGTTGACTTACTTTGTCGAAGAACATAAAGATTGTAGCTGAAGATTCTAACGATGAACTAAAAATAAAATAGTTTTCAGAATTGGAAATAGTAAAAATCGAATAGGAACAGACTAACAGGAACTATCTACAAGTGAAGACTAAGTATTACCATAGAGGTGAAGAGGGAAAGCAAAAGGCTGAGTGCTACCAAGCAAAGCGAAAATATTTAAGAGTTACCAAGGTTGGAGCGAAGTCCGGAGGTTAATGTGCGAGGTTAGTCTGTATGTACACTAGCGAGGCTGCTGGATGATGAGCGGCCGCACTAATCGTCGTTCCCTGTCAGGGTAGAATTGGTAGATGAGCTTCTCCTTTTTGGGTCCGTACGCACCGATTCCGCTTTCGTATGAGCGAGCGTGCCAGAGGGCTGCAGGTGGCATTGGGGCGTGCGCGAAGGGGGCCATGTGCGGCGGGAAGGGGCCGGGGTGCGCGTGGGCCACGCTGTAGCGTTTGCTGGGCACTGGAGCGTCCTTCAGGGAAAGGCGCTCCGTCATTTGTGGCAGGTGTTTGACGCCGTTTGTCTTTACAAAGTTGGGGACGCGTGCTCGCAGACCGCAATAATAAGGATCATCTGAAAAATAAGATTAGTAATTATAGTATATCAATCAAATAACATCAGTCAATAATAATCTTTGTATAAAAGGTGGGCAGTATATGTATGATCCCAGCTTTAACGGTATCGCTAACCTTCCTGGGAAGAGTGCCGATTACGCATCGAGTACATAACCAGAAATAGAGACGAAATAAGGGCCATAGATTTCTGGTAACTCATCAGTGATACATCACCTATAAATATCAACTTTCGTTTGCTCTGAAACATAGACAGCGCCTACAACTGACCTATGTGTACGTCTCCGTATATTCCAAAAATATTCTGTATTTACTTTTTTTATTTATATTACAAAATAAAGATATCTCTAACAATGGCGTGCTGTTCCATTAGGTGGTGTGTGGAAAAACAGCAAAACATCTAACTACTAAACAAACGGAACCAAACTTCATCGGTAATTAAATATTAAATATGTAATTTTGCAATTATCGTCCATTATAGCTCAAGTTAACTGGTTGATTTGAAGTGAAACAATTGACGACATTCATTGAAGTCCCCCGTCAATTGTTTCGAATTCGGGGTAGCCAATCGGAGTGCTGTTGTCACAGTAATGATATGGCGGAATAGTTTTCAAACAAATTAAATGACATTCGGTCTCTATTTCTGGTTATATACTCGATGCGATTACGTAACCATCGACAAGCCTTATATTTGTAAATGAACGCCACGAATGATATTTAGATATGAATTCAATAAAAACAAGTATGAATACTTATAATGCTTTCTTTTGTGATCTTACAAGTCCATTACCATTACGCTCCAGGCCTGTTCAATGTTCGACAAGGCTTTCGCGCGTAAAGGGCTCGATTATGCCATCAACACCAGTCTCGCCCATAAATTCTTGTAAACGACACATTACACTCTCGATTCAGTGAGAACAAGGTCCATTATAGACAATAAGGACGTATACAGACTGCATTTGATCTGTCATAGCGTGCCCCAACATGTGCTACGGTTGTTTCGTTAGTTTGAGGAATCTTTACAGTTGTTCAATGAACTTCGCTGACCTTCAAAATAAAGTAGTTAAGTACTTAAATTGATTGAAGCACGATATTTTTTGTCAAATGAAAGTTTTTCGACAAACAAGAACACATGATTGATTTTTTCTAAAAACTACCTTAACCTTTCTTAAAACTAACTACAACCAACTTGTTACAGTCAAAAGTCAAAAGTAGAATAATGAAATTAAAAAACAATTAAAAAACAGTGATTCAAAAAATAATTATGTACTTTGAAGTTGTCTTCTTTTTTCATAAAAAAATATTTAGTTATTCCGTGTTCGAAGGTATTTTTTTGTACAAGTTTATTTTTGATTAGCAAATGGAACAATTTTTTTCCGGATCTTAATCACGTATATTTGTTTTTCAAATATTTCGTGCTCTTTACAAGTCCAGTGGTCACAGATGACTGACAATTTTTAACCGACTTCGAAAGAGTAGGAGGTTCTTTTTGTGTGTATGTTACGCGATTACTCTAATGTTCTTGATCTGATTTTTTTTGGTGAAAAGGGGGTGCCTCTATAGCGGTCTCATTCAAATACGAAGAAAATATTATACCTCTAAGGGTGGCAAACTAGGGGATGAATGACTTTTGAGGTCCCTTGATCTCAAGGGATGAATTCGGTTTATTATATTCAAGCACTTTTCGTTAACCCATGTCCGTAAAGCTTGGCAAACAGATATAATTCCATAAACTTTTGATTATATAAAGATATAATTATAGTGTCGTTTTGGTTTATTATGCGGTGAGCTTATTTTGAATACAGCCCAAAACACATACGTGCGCGTGCGCCGATTCCGCATCCTACGCTGGCAAATATCAAGGATACGCCAAAATGCCAGCGTTGCGACACGAACATTGTCTCGTAATAACCTCTGCTCCGAACAGAGAATTAGAACGTGCGAGAGTAAAATAAGTACATAAAAAACATATTAAATTTAATGTTATATTTTAGTAAATATTTTTGTAAAGAAAAAAACGCACGCTTTGTTGAGACCTCTTTTTAATTTTTGCTTTTCTAAAATTATGCTTTTCTTCAATAAAATTTTTGGTTATCTCTCAATATCAATAATTCTTGTCGCAGTAATTATTTTAAGAATATTTCTCCTGTAGGTAAGCCCGTAGGAGGCCTTGAAACCTATAGCACAAAGTTTCCTAATTTAGATTCCAGCCTTTTTGTAGACAACAAATGTATTGGTTTACAACAGAATGTTATAATATTGTTACAGAGTGTGTGAAGGAAATTTTATTAAGAAAACTTTATTATTATTAAAGACGGAAAACTCCAGCTCGAAAACAAAGAATTATGAATATGGCTTTTCCGTCTCAGTTTTATAAATACCATGTCGATGACTTTTTCGAATAGCAACCTGGATCTCAAAATCCCTAATTTATCAGGAAGGTAGGTGGTTTAAAACCCAAGTATGGCGTATGCGGCATGCAAAGCCGACGAGTCTTATACCAGCCAACATTGTTACGTAATTATTTTAACAATGGAAAGCTTGGTTCACTATAAAACTAAGGATATTCTTGTAAGATTTGTAATTAAAATGTATAGTTATTTTATTTTATTGTAATAATATTTTGTATTGTGGTAAATGGTTTAATATTTTAATTGAATAATCTCAGAACAGAGTACTAAAACACTGACCTCAATAGTTCATGGAATCTATTTGCCAAGTTTTATTGAAATCGGTTACCGGAAAGTGGTGATGTGGTGTGGTGTTAGAGGTGGAATATTTTCTTCAAATTTAAATGGGACCTATACTGAAGTACCCTTTTTCCAACAAAAAAAACCATCAAAATCGGTTCACAAATGCCGCTAATCGTGTAACTTACATAAAAAAGAGACGAATTGAGAACCTCCTCCTTTTTTTGAAGTCGGTTAATAAAATAATATTCAGACTAAAATCTCTAAGTCAGTGAGCCTTGAAAAAAACGGAAGACTCGGATTGTCACTGTTTGACCAATAGGTGCTTGTCGTCTTTTCCATCAACACAAAATCTTGCCTTTGACACTTACATTTTTTACTTATATGTTTACAATTTTTCTTTGCTCTGCCTCTCTTCTATATCTATCTCTCCTATTGCAATAGTCTTATAACAAGATTCAGAATTGTTCTTTAAACTTAACTATGTTACTTGCCTTATGTTACTTAACTTAACTATGTTCACTTCTAAATTTTTATTGAATTGGTATTCAATTATTTTTTGTGAAATTACTTAGAATAATAACGCATAGAAACCTAGTCCGCACACGCTAAGTGAGGCAAATTGAAGTGCGCCAAAAGTGCCTACATGAGCGGGCGGGCCTTCAGTGCTCAAGGTCAACTTGCACCGCGAACAGATCAAGAATTTTAGCTAAAAATGACGAAATGTGCGGTAAATGAGTCTAAAAATGCGTTAGACAAACATAAAATAGATACTAACATCACATTCCACAAGAAAGTAACGCGTTTCAACTTGTATTTTTATATAAATATTCACTAAAACCGAAAATTAACCTACTACTAAAACTAGCCTACATGAATTTGATTTTTGCCTCACTTGTGACAGTTCGTTTGATATGAAACTATCATTCTATGCGTTTTATTCTAAGGTCGTATAGATATTTTAAAAATGTATATATTTCAAAACCAGGTCCAATGGATGTTTTTGCAATGGAGCGTTATTAATTATATTTTAAAAAAATAATTAACGATACGTTCATCTTGTATGAACTCGCGGTTAATTAATGACATGACATTTCAATTTGTTATTTGTAAGCAAAGCAGATTTTTTCATTATATTAAGGCTACGGTAGTCATGGACACCGTGTTTGCGGAAAAGGAGGCACGCTAACTATGCTATAAATTTTTGAACGAATTAAGAAAACAATTGTTTTTTTGGATCAAACTCTAGAACAATCCATTTCAAACTCACATTACAATGTATGAGCGATGATCTGCCGCGGTCTCTATATTGATATACTGTTCACACTTGCCGTTGATCGTGATATAAATTGCAACTTGCCTTCATAAATCGTTTCCATTGTCAAGAAACGTACATGGTTTTATAGAAAAAAAAAATACAGAAAATGATAAATATGGGAAGCTGTACTTGATGATAAGTTTTGTAAATTTATAATGTTCTTATATAAAAATTTAAAAAAGAAATTTGTCCTCAAATACGAAAAAAAAAAACAACAAAAAGTTTTCGGTAAAATTTTTAAAAACGTCTTCATTTATTATTTGTTACTGGGCACAAAAAGCTTTTGTTCTAAATCAACAACCTAATATTTTTTTCAAATGAAAACAAATTTCCTTCTAATTTCAAATATAAAGGCGTAACAATAACACGGCATTGTTTGTGTCAGGTGGCAAATTGCAGAAAAGTATTCAAGCGAAAAGCATACATGCAAATGCTTTAAAATAAACTCCAAAAATAACGTCGGCATTTCTTATAATGCCCAAAGATAGAACGACTCTTGCCTTCTTTTGTAAGCCTTTTTACTTTAAAAAAAGTGTTATTACCTATTGATTGGTTTCAAACAATGTTACATACTGGTTTAAAGTAAATTTATTAATCTAGACTGTTAATTGCTGTATAGTGTTTTAAAAATGCCTTAAAAATAAATTGTTAAATCATTGTTGACTTTTTTCAAAAAAGAGTATATATAAAGTGTTCTTCATATGTATATTTGAGTTCATAAATGAATAAAATAAATGAGCGTAAAATTTAAATATCCGGTGACATCTAAATGCTTCCTTCTATAAGAGGGGCGGTGTCTCAATTGCAATTGACATTCAGATGAAAATTATCGCAATAACTATTTATGAAGCTATTCCGGAGTGCTGGTATTTAATCCTTTGTGCCTTATTTGTCGTGTCGTTCTTGAATATTTTAAATTTTACACTGGATTGTTTACGGTTTTCGTAAATTTTAATGGTTTCTTAAAAATTATCACCGAGCGAATATTATCAACTTACTACGGTTTGTAGCTCAGCTTTATTATATAGGCCCATTCGATACGTTTGTTTTATTATTAATTTAAATTTTACAATGTTATTGTATTGCATTTCATGTCTAATCAAGTATATTTAATTTTGATGATTTTTAAATGTTTTATTAACTTTTTAATCACCTCACAGCCTAATATTTTGCAGATCACTTCGAAGTTTTTTATTTTTTAAAACAAGAGAATAAGAAATTATACGTTTGCATTCTGTGGCTTTGCGTCTACTTTTTTTTAAATAATGCCGCGATTTCTGAGAAGCTTTGAGAACAAGTGAATTTATTTTCTTTCTCTCAGGTAATTTTTTTTATTTAAACACTATTTTATGGCTTTTGCATATGGATGTCTGTATGTAACTATTGTTGCCTTTTTTTCAATTCAGATTTTAAAAAAGGCAGTGATGTAGAGTTAAACTGATTTTCAGTTTAAATATATTTTGCAATAAAAACAAACCTGTAAAAAAGTATCTTTGTAATTTGGTTATATTACTTACCGTATTTCTTGTTGTCTTTGCCCTTATCCGACTTGCCACGAGGGAACTGTGTCGGCACACGTCCGTTTATGTCGATATCATCGTAGTCCGGCTGAAAATAATTAAGAATTTTTTTGAATTACTAGAAAACAATCATTTTAAATATCGAGCTCTTGGTTTTCGCAATTATTACACAAAGGAAATGAAACTAATTTGTGAATGTACGCGATTGAGAGTTTGGTGTCAGAGTCCAAGAACCAATTCGGGTTGCTGAGCCAGCGAAGTAATTATAGGTAAGTAAGTATAACTATAGTGGAAAAATAGGGTAGTTTGCATTAATATTAGACTTAACTGGTTGAATTATACCAACTCAGTCAGCCGTGATCAAGGCACCTGTAAATGTACCGAATCGTCGGTTTGTTTGAAAAAATAATAATACGCGATTAGGATTAGAAAAATTAGTTTCATTACCTATTTTTAGACTTTGCCGGGGGTGGTTATATTGGTAACACTGACATCGGGGCAGCTACATGGCATTTACTAGGTTAGGAGTCAGAAACCACAAGACAGAACACGGCAAAAAAATGAAAAGTCTGTTTTTCTTTCTTTATTTCATTCATTCATTCGTTCTATCTACAAAGCTCGTATCTCAAAAAGTACAGTGTAGATCAAGAAAATACGACAACATGCGCGTGGGCACAACTAGCATTACCTTTTATCTCTACAAGCGCGCGTTAACACCTATTCGATGACCCTATACACGATAAGTGAATAATAAATAATATAAAGGCTCGCGTTTAATGTACAAAATGTATGTATTTTGAAAGACTTGGTGTACAGAAATTGGATACAAAACATATATTGCACGGAAATCTTATCGGGAAGCGAAGTTATGAATACCACCTTGTTCTGCAGTTGGTATTTTAAATTGGAAAAAACATTATTTTAATCACATTGGTACTGTATTCGGACAATGTTTATCATTGTAATTTAGACAATGTAACGTACTTGAAAAGGTAGATATTGTGAACTACTCAACACCTATCACATATTAAGTATATTAGCTGAATAAATAAGTGCTAAACATCCTCATCCATTACCTAGTCTTTTGAGATTGCATTCCTTATTTTGATAAGGACTCCGTTTACTGCTAGTACTACCCAGGACATCAGATCAGAATGAATTTAGAAAAGATAATTTTTCAAATTAGCTCTTAGGAATCGAACACGGAACGTCCTCATCCAGCACCTACAGTACAAACCATTGAACGACCGAGGTTTTTAAAAAAATATATGTAGTAGTTTTTATATAATATACTTGGTTTTAGTAGCGACATCTCTTTAATATAATTTAAACTAATTTGCTTGTCTGTTTTATCGATTGAGAGACTATAGTGCTAAACTCTTTAGGTTATGAGTTAAGGCTCCTAAGTTATGTCCCTTTTTCCCGATGTTCCTCTTATCGCACCTGATTCTAGTATATTTCGTAAATTGACCTTAATATATATTTGTAATTAAAATGAATACATATGTAAGTACAAACAATCTTAGCAAAGTAGTTATCAAAACCACGTTAAAAAACCAAAGTAATTTTTCACGGCTTGGATAAGCTTCGAGGTAAGATATAGGGCGCTATCATTAATCTTTAACCGATGAGATTCATGTTGCGTCTTCTATTGTCCTCTCGATGAAAAGTTTAGGGCGGTGCTCCAGCGAAGCTTTCGTTCATGAGACCGTATCGATTGTTTATTTATTCATTTGCATTGGTATTGGTATAGACATGTATACATTTAAAATGTTACAAATTAGGTCTAAGGGTGTATGGAAACTTTTAAACAAATTATAATTATTATGTGTTAAAATTAAAATTAATAATAAAATTTGATTACAAGTAAGTATTATGATATTTTTTCGAAATAACTCAAATACTTTTATTATGATTATTAATATAAAGATCGAACACACAGAAAATTTTTTTTCGGCGGCGATGAAAGCCGAAAGTCTATAATAAAACTCATAGGAGAATTTCGAC